TCACAGGGATATAAAAAATAACGACGACCACGGCGTGGAACGTAACGATAAGCTGTGCTTTTCCTTAATTTTTTCTTCTTTATTGCGTAAGAGACGACTAGCGTCTCTCTCGTGGACAATTCCGTCGACCTAGCTTTACACATCTCATCGCATCACTATTCAAACCGCGGGAACAATGCAGTACGGATAACAACCCAGGTAGCAGAGAAACTTCTCAAAGAGATTTTGAAGATGTCTGAGAAATGTTCATTCTTCAGACGTCTTTTGACCGTTTTTCAGATGACTTCTACAAGTTTCCGCTACCTGGAGACGTGTCCACGTGCGGCCGAGAAGTCACTCGGACTGTGTCGTGAAGTAGTGCAAGCAAAGAATGGTTGTACAAGAGACTACACACGCACATACACACGGAGTCTTACAGTCGTTTACAGATCTTTCCGCGACATGAGCGAGTTCGAGAGCCTACCAAAATCGCCGCGAACGCCTCCCTTCATCGTATAAATCCGTAAACGGTGATTCCACACGCGCGCGCGCGCGCGCGAGAGAGAGAGAGTGTGTAGAAAGAGAGGAAAAGAGAGAAAGAAACGAGAAAATCGTAGCGAGCTAATCGGAAATTGCCTGCGAATCGTGCGGCGATATTCGAGCGGATCGACATACCCGCTAGAGGAGGAGGCCCATCTGCGCGTTTCGTTTCGTGCTGCCAGGGACCCACACAGCGACACGGTGCTGCGCACCCTGAAATAAGGTAGCCCAGGCTCCGGCGACGAGGAGCCGACGTGGGTGGTCCAGGAGAGATTTGCCTTCCGCTAAATATCGCCTTTGCGCCCTCGACGTGGGTGGCCCTCTCGCTGCCGCTGCTGCTGCTGCTGGTAGAGGGGAACTTGCCCCCTTCCCCCTGCTCTCTCCACTCCTCTTGTCCGAAGGAGTCACAAGTTGTCTCTTGTCCTCGTTCCTCGAAGGAGAGACGCTCGGTCGCGGGAGCGCGCGATGCTGGCCGAAATTTTCATTTCAACGCGCCCCGAACGCGCGTCCTTTATTGATTCCGGGAACCGATTTTGCAAATACGATCAAACGACGCGATCAGGAGCGGAGCGTACGCGCTGTGACGTCGCCTTGACATGATCGACCTGTAACAGAGAATATCGAGTGATATCGATACCTATCGATCTGTGATTGTATTCAGCTTATATAGATTGTATCGAGGTTATATCGAGTTATATACGCTCGCTTAGGTCTCTGCCGAGTGCTAGGGTGATATGGAATCGTAACGAGATGAGTGAAAACTCGAAATACCTCGAGCAGCGCGTGAATAAATCGAGAGGTCCTCGGTGTATGTACATCGGGGACGAAACGCGCGGCTCGTGAGTCGGATCTATTGCGAAAGAACGAGGAGAGAGAACGAGAGGAGAGAAAGGCGACAAGACGCGTGTGGTCCGAACGATGAGTAGGACAGGACCAGAACGACGACAGTATCTTATCCGAGGCCCCGGCCGGCCGATCGATCAATGGTGAGATCGATGCCTCCTCGATCGGGACCGATCGAGTGCGCGGCATGCTTGGCCGCGCAAGTATTTTTCACCCCGCGGGCGGCGGCGGCGACGGCGGCGATGGCGGTGGCGGCAGCCCGTCGGATCCAACGATACTATACTTTGATCGACCTTTCCAATCAACGGCGCTTTCGCGAGGGGAAGAAGGTGATGCGTTTGGGGCGGACACGAGCGGTCGAATCCTTCGATCAATGATCCGCGCGCACTCGTGAGGGAAAAATAAGGGAGTCATGCGATATACTCGAAATCGTAGTCGAGGGGAGGGACACTGGAAGAGGGAGAGAGAGAAAGGGAGAGAAAGGGAGAAACCGAGATCCTGCGTTACGACTACCTAAAGACAGGTAGCTCATTTGAAACGGTCGCACATATGGTGCACCCACACCTGTGACCAATCGGTAACACGGTCATATCGGACCTCGTTCGCATGCCGCCGCACGCATCCACCACACACGCACAGCATACGCATGTACACATGTGGCTTTACATCGCTCGCGAGCGCGGAGCCACGCTTAAAACTCGTTTGCATTCTTCGAATGAATGAAGATATCGGGGAAGAGATTCCCGTTTATACGATTCCGTAGCGAGTGCGCGTATCGTTATCGCCGGCAGCAATTATCTCGTATAACCGAGAATCGGCTCTCAAATGTACACGCGCATATGGCGCGCATGTGTGTTCGTGTGTATGTATGCGTGGCGCGGAGCGAGCATTTCCACTTGGGAACCGTATAATTTCGCTTTCAACCTCGCTTGACAAGCACGACGGACCTCCCGCGTCAACTTAATCTAGGCTCGTCACTCTCGAATTTGCCGGATGCGACACGCACACGGGGACGCACGCTCCGATGAGTCGCCGTCGCCATCCGACCTCGATCTCGATTTCGATTTCGATTTCGATCTCGCGGCTAGCACAGCCGGCGGCCGCTGCTCGGCGACGAAAAATTGCACAAGCAGAGAGAGAGAGAGAGAGAGAGAGAGAGAGAGAGAGAGAGGGAGAGGGAGAGAGAGAGAGGCGGCGGGCACCTAATGCTAATGCGGCTACCATTAGCAAGTAGTGAATCGAATGTAAAGTCGGACGTAAGGTGGGACCACACAGGTCGCGCGCGCTCGCGCGGAGGGTTATACGGGGCCAGCAGATGCAGTGCCCCATAAACAGCGGGGCGAGACCACCCAACGCGCTTGTTCCTTCGTTCGTTTCGTTCCTTCGTCTGTTTCCTTAATAACCACGATAGCCGCCTGCCTGTTACCGTGCGAGAAGGTGTGCAAGCACTCTCCTCTCTCTTTCTCTTCCTCTCCTCATCTTCTCCCCTTTTCTCCCCTTCTCTCTCTCTCTCTCTCTCTCTCTCTCTCTC